ACGCCGTCCGACCAAACGACCGACCATTCACTCACATGATTAACAGCTCGCCTAATCAAGCGACCGATTACCTAGCCTTTCCTTGAAATGAGCTTTTAGAAGCCCACTTCCTTTTTGACCAATCTCCGTATCGGCCGTCTCATCTTCCTCTTCCCCCGACTTCCTTTTGTCCGACCTCCGTGTCTGCCATCTTATCTTTCTTCGCCCGACCTTATCATGTCCGACTTCCGCGTGTGCCCTCTCATCTTTCTTCGTCCGACCTCCTTTTGTTCGACCTCCGTGTCTGCCATCTCATCTTTCTTCGCCCGACATTATTTCTTCCGACCTCCGTGTTGTCCCTCATCTTTCTTCGTCTGTCTTTCTTTTGTCCGTCCCATCCTTCTTCTCCGGACCTCATTTACACCGACCTCCTTGTTTGCCATCAGATTTTTCTTCGGCCAACTTTACGTTGTCCGACCTTCTTGTCGGCGCACATCTTTCTTCGTCCATCTTCCTTTTGTCCGACCTCCGTGTCGTTCGTCTCAACCTTCTTCGCCCGACTTCCTATTTTGACCATCCTCCGTATTGCCCGTCTAATCCTTCTTTGCCCGACATTATCTTGTCCGACCTTCTTTAAGACACTGCTACCATTATTATTATTATTATTTTTTGTACTCAACAAGTTAACTTTGCAAACACAATATAAAGCTACTATGTATCCTCAATGTCGATATAATATTTCTTCTTTATGTTACTTGAAATACGTTACGACAACATTGTCTCTGTTGTTTTCCCGTGAAAACAACAAATGATTACAATCATTCTGTAGATCTTCAAAATAACTACATCGTACTTCCCACTATTTGCTAGCACATTCCCAACCACATGCCTTCCGGAAATCAGCTACAATACTATCTCACAATACAACACCATTGCTTGTGTGTCACAGTCCACCATTATTATGTGTAACACCAAACTGTACAAGGCTGACATTGTAATTATTTCATCCATCTAAACAACCTAACCTCCACCGACAATCTACTAGACGGTTCTCCTTCTTCTTATTTGACCAATTCAGTATATATATTATTTATAGATATAAAATACATATATTAATATAATTTATTATATTTTTTTTTCTCTTCTTTCTATCCCAACCGACTACTTACTGGACGGTTCTCCTCCTCTTTGTCATCCGATCAATTCAGTATATATATCATTTTGTAGAAATTTTATTTTAATAAAATAGAAAAAAATTTATCCAAAGAACCCAATTGGGTCGAGCGACCGCCTTTTGGGACCTTACCTCCTTAAATGGACTTAACGAATAACCCAACGATTAACCTACCGACAAATCCAGATACTAACTGGTCGCTAGACCAAACGACTAATCAGTCCCCCACTCGAGCGAACACCATTAAGCCCCTTCAAACGGCCGAACAACCATTCGTCCAGACGATTCATCGATCGCCCAATCAAGCGACTAAATGACCGCCCAATCAAATGACCACCATCCAGTCCCTTCAAACGGCTGAACACCCGTCCGTCCAAACGACCGACCTATCAGTCGACCAAATGATTCATTTAATCGCCCCATCAACCTACCAACCGACCAATTGTTGGCGAAATTAACCCCTCCTCCAGCCCTTGCTTTGGGCTCGCCAACTCCCGCCACGGTCCTCAGGAGCAAACGGGCGGCTCCCGCTGAAGGCCCCAGCGCTCCAAAGAGGAAAAAAGCCACCCGACCAAAGGCCACAACAAGACCGGTATATGATCGGCAGGCGGTAGAGGATTATTTGGTGTCCCTACCTGTGGACCCCATCTAGTTGCCTGCCAATGTGCGCCGACACTTGGGTAAGGATAAACCATAACCTTAACTCTGTTTTCCCTTCAATATATTCTTGACAAGTTTTTTCCTCAGCGTCGCTTGCTGAGAACCCAGCCGACCAGCCTGCCGATCATCCAACCGATCAGTCGGTTGATTCAGCAGGCGCCTAGCTTACCGATCAACCAAGCACCCGACCAACTACCTTGCCATCAGCTGTACCAGCTGCTTTGCCAGCCGATTCGCCAATCGTCCCCGAGGTAATCCCCCCAAAGTCTTTCATTTCTCATAATTATGGTTTCTAACTTTACCTCTTTACCTGGGCGCAGACTACTTCTTCCCCGTCTGCTGCCCCGACCGGCCAACAATCGGCTGCTACACTAATAGAGCTGCCCGTGATGCGTCTGGAGAAGGACCCGACGTTGAGGCGGATTCTTCATCAATCTCCGTTGGCAGGACCGCCAGTGATTCGTTGGGAGGAGGACCCGACACTGAGGCAGATTTCCTCATCGACTTCTACCCCTCCCCAACCAGCCGTGTTCCCGGTGAGTATATAGCAAGTTGTGAAATTATGTTTCCTATCTAGAGTCTAACTTATATTCCTTATCTCAGGGGCTTGTGGCAGCCGACCCGGTGGTCAAACCAACGATCACTGAACACCAACCATCGGTGGTCCCTGATCTGGTTCAACCAACCGCAGAACCAGATCCGCCGGTCCTTGCATCAATCCAAGTAGACCCTCAACTAGTACAAACAGACCTTGGACCAGTCCAACACTTTGAACCAGTCGACGTCTTTTCTTCAGAGTCGGGCGACCCTTCTGTTAATCAGAACCGCGAAGCCGTGGTTAGTATTTTTCCTTGTCTCCATCCCCGTATGCTAATCCCAACTCTCTTTGACTTGACGTCTTACATTTTCAGAGTTCTGAGCCAGGCTTCATAGGTCCTTATTCCGCAGCCGCCGAATCGGTTGCTTGCACGAGGATCCTATCTGGCCCTCCCCCACTAACTCTGGTTTTGCTAACTCCTTCCGAAGCTACGGCCGTCCTCCACCAGGTAACCTCCATATTACTGCATTAGCTTATTTTACTTATGAATCTTTAATCACTCTAACCTACTTAAACAGGGAACTCGTGAGCTTACTTTCCTCACCAAAGTGCCATTACTGGGATCTGCCCGAACAGTAGTAATATGTTGCGCCGATCTTTCATTGGCCGACCTGAGCTCTGCAGATCTAAACTCTCTAGTTCAGGTGGTCATTGATCTATTGGTGCAGACTCCTGCTGAGTCTGTCGTGGCACCAATCCTCAGTCGGATGATGGAGAGGATCATTAAACTTCAAACCGACCTACCTTTGATTCGACCCCCAACATCCGACTCTGCACCGTCTCAGCCCATCCTTAACACTGCAACCATTGAGGCGTTCCTGTCAAAGGTGGCAGCGCTCCTCAATGAAGCTTCTAATATGTTGAGTGAACTCCAGCAAGCGCGCCATCATTTGGCCACCAAAATCTCTCAGAAAATGAAGGAACTCGAGAACCTTCAAAAAGACTTGGAGTCATTAGACGGCTGCATTCAGGAGAAAAGTCGCCTGGTGGAGGAGCAGCGCCAGACTTGCGCCAGCCTCCATGACCAACTCCAAGCCAGTATTCGGTCAAGGCTGATGCAGGAGCACCAAAGTGCCGTCCATCAAAGAAGAATGGCCCGAACTGAACAGAAATAGGCGGACCTAGTAACCGCCCTGAAAGCTCCTTATGTAACATGTGTCACATTTTATGTAACAAATGTAAACATTACCTTAACTCCATCCTTTTTCTAAGCTACTTGATCCACTCATTTGCACCACAAAATTAAAACACGACTTGCTTATTTAAATCAGATCTCAAATAAATGAATCACAGCAAAGCCACTGTTTGTTAGACATATGACTTCCCCTCGAATTTGTGTTCCTTGGTCCAACTGGGAAGGTTCTTTGCAACCATTTCTCGTGGGTAAACACCCCATAGGTCATGATGCCGAGGACCTGATACAGTCCGACCTCCGTGTCTGCCCTTTCATATTTCTTCGCCCGACCTCCTTTTGTCTGATCTCCGTGTCTGCCATCTCATCTTTCTTCGCCCGACCTTATCTTGTCCAGACCTCCTTTTGTTATACCTTCCATTATTTAACATTATTAATTACATGACTGAAATTACTTTAGATTGATTTAATCTATCTTTCTTCGCCCGACCTTATCTTCGCCCCTACGGTTCCGAAACGTTACTTTAAGAAATTGATGGGTGGTTGACAGCGGTTGCTGTAACTGAACAGACGACGGTTCCAAAATATTTCTTTAGGTAATATTAAAAAATAAAAACAAAAGAATTATTTTCGAATCAATTAGTAAATTATATAATTTATTTTAAAAATTTAAATTATGCAATATAATTAAAAAACTATATGGTGTGTTTTTTTCACACATTTTTCGAAAATATTAATGTATAACATATTTAATATTTTTATATTATTTACACAATTTTTATAATTTACATAAAAAATTATTTTTTTTTCTTTTATAGTAAAAAAAGTACAAAAATGTAATAATTTTTTACTTAAAAAGGAAACGAAAATATTTTTCAATGACAACCCAAAAAGGAAAGTGACCGTAGATTTGAATGACGGATGGAGTATAATATATTATTTACAATAATCGGAACATACATGTGCAGACAACACTTGAATGGATTTAAGACAATAACAAGTTGTTTTGTTCACTTGGTCAGACAGTAGTTCAATCGCTTGAAAAGGCGGTCAGTTGGTCGCTTGATTGGCCGACCAATGAGTCTTTTGGTCTACCGACCAGTTAGTATCTGGATTGGTCGGTCGGTGGAGCCTGTTAAGCCCTGTAATTGGTAGGAGCGGTTGGCAAGACGGCTAAAGAATAAAGACACGTGTGAATGGAGGAGGATTTAGTAGGCGGTTTAACTACAACGATAGCAACAGTAACACACCTCGAAAGTTATAAACTAAGCCCTTTTTTTGAAGTACTGGCAGTTATATTTTTTCATACATTTTCTTTAACAGATGTCGTGGCGGGTTTTTTTGGGCACAGTAGCATGGAAGCATATATGTGTCCAAACAGAAAGGATTATAATAACTGATTGGAAAACTGAGTTTGTATTCTTCGTTTAACCATTCGGCATACATTATTTACACATCTACAGGCTGATGCCGGCCAGACAAAGAAGTTCCGAGTAGGTAATGTTCTTTGTCCACTCAACAACTGTGCCGGACAACACTAATGACTGGACAACTATATGTAAGGATCTGAATGATTTGGCGCGTGAGAAGGCCACGTACAACATCCCATGCATGAATACAGGGTCCGGCAGGTAGACGCCTACACGATCCAACGTTTGCCCCTGTGATTTGTTAATGGTCATGGCAAAACACAGCTTTATTAGGAACTGTGTCCTCGTAAAATCTATTCCGGCCGGCTTCACGTTCTTGGGTTCTAAGGGGATACGAGGAATGAGACATGTCTGACCAGAGCAAGGGCCTATAATAATTTTAGCTTCGAGGATGTTTCGTGAAATGGTTTTGCATATCAAACGGGTTTCCATTTGATAAACCATTTGATGGGTTGAGGTTTCGTAGTAGCATAATGGGCGCTCCTTTTTTTTAAGATGTAAAGAATGCGGAGGCATACCGTTAGGTGTTAATGTAGAAAGGTAGTCTTCATAATGTGGCTGTTGACTTAGATCTTTAGTCATATCATGGGCAATAGATGTCAGAGTGTTTCCAGGAAGTATGGGCAATACAATATTGTTGATTTGATCTACCATTTCATTTGTTGTAGTTAGAATCGAGCGTCTGACAAAGAAATCTGGATTGGTCGGTGACTTGTTTTCAGCGGATAGATTATGTTAATCAAACGTTTATATTGGAGAAGCCTAAGGGAAACAGGCAGGTGGAAGGTAACTTGACATCTCCATTGTCATTTTTAAGCATGTGTTGTTGCCGATCGATTCCACGAAATCTGCAAATTTTGAATATTCTTTCGCTCGCATTTTAACTTTAAGATAGAACTTCGTTGCCTTCCTAAATAAATGCGACGATACTGGGCTTGCTTCTATAAACATTTCTTTTGTTCCATTTGGTATAACTGGAGTTATTTGTCGGAATCGCCCCCAAATATAACCACTTTCCCACCAAAATCCTCGCGTGAATCACATATGTCTTGTAGTGTGTTATCCAGAGTTTCTATAAGTTCAGGTCTTGCCATTGAAATCTCGTCCCAAATAATAAGCGAAGCTTGTCTTAATTGTTTGGCTAGATTAGATTGTTTAGAAATATTGCAGGAAATGTTCTCAGACAGGTCGAGAGGGAGTTTAAATTTGGAGTGCGCAATTTGGCCATTAGGCAACAACGATGCAGCAATTCCAGAGGTGGCAACTGGGATAGCAACAATGTTAGCCAACGCAGCATGGCGAAGAATTGTTTTATATAGGTATGTCTTGCCACTACCTGCTGGGCCATCAATAAAGCATATGAATCCAGTTTGGGATCTGAGTTTCCCAATAATGATCTCGAAAACTCATCTTTGTTCTTCGTTCAAGCTGTCGGGAGATGGTAGATTGTGGAATAGTTGTAGGTCCTGAGAATGATCATGTTTGTGCATCGTCTCTTCTAATTTTGCATTTGCCACTTGTGTTCCTGTAATTCCATAGTCTTTTAGTTGTGTGCCAAGGGCTTGTAAAAATTTATTTACAGTAGTTGCAGCCATTGTCTCTAAACAGGCAGGCTGTGCTTCACTTAAGACGCTGCACTGAGCTACGCAGAATATATGGAATTTGTCCCAAAGTAGTTGCGGTTCTGCAGGGCAACAGAAAATCAAAATTGTAGCAAATAGTTGTGCAAAAGCTTTAGGCAGCTTGAACTGAGATGCTTCTTGAAGAGATTCTACAATTCCAAGGTCTGAGTCAAGTTATCCTAATCCAACACATGCTGACCGGAAACTTTCGTGAATTGTCCCATTAATTGTTGCGAGATCTTCAAATGATGTAGGGCACCGTCGGTGTTGCAGAAGCATACGAAGGTAATATCTCTCTTTCTCCGATGGATGAACTGTTACAATTCTGTCTATGGTTAATCCTCGCTGTCTTTCATGCCATTTCTGTGTAGACTGATCCCAGACAAAGTGTTGTGGGAATTCCCAATACAGTAATTTGAGTCTCTGGGCAGTCGAGTTATGAGCATTCATTTTAAAATATTCGGTCAACATAGTGCATCTTGGTAGTTCGGAGTCCACAATGTTTATTACGGGATCATCAGCGCGAAACATTGTATATTGATAATTAGGTATGTGTAGTTGAAGAGCAAGGACTGGAAGATGTATCTCATTCAATGTATAGCTGAATATTCGCCAACATGCTTCAGGGGGGCTACCCATCTACCTGTTTGAATCGCTGAAATTTCATTGACTTGTTCAGAGCAACCTACCGAATATGCTATTCGGTCATGTCCTTTATAAATATATTTATATAAGTATTTGACAAGTTTAATAGTCGAACAGACTTCCACATTTATATGACAATCATATTTACTAATCAAGTAAGGGTTGTATGGGACGACCCATCGGTTATCCAAAATTTTTCCTCGTGCATGTGCGGTTGAACCATTATTACGTCTTCTGTATGAAGGAAAACCATTTGGATTATGTGATGTTTCACTGTGAAAATGTTGTGGATAATGATTTTTGCATTTACCGTTGGCCATACAAACATTGTCTACATTCATTAAACCACAAGGCCCATGGAGCATATGTTTGCAGACTAAATTATATTGATAGGTTTATGTCTCTCCGTTTGGCAATTCAGCTGAGATATAGGCGTCATACGATTCAGGGCTTTTCAGTTTGGATTGTTTGATGCATAATTAGTAAGATTTGTATATGTGGAAGACCTCTTTTTTTAAACTCAATAACATAAGAGTATGCTTGCACATGGCCAAGAATATGTTTTTTAAGTAAGTCGTGCTTTAGTTCTTCTATTTTTATACGGAATATGTGGGCGACAATATCAGGTCGATTTGTTGTGTCCTTTGAGGTGGATAACTGCGCTAGTATATCCGGCCATTGCGGATTGCATGTCATAGTAATATAAAAATCGGGTTTCCCAAATTGTTGAACAAGTGCCATGACATCCATGTATCTTTGTTGCATGTTCCGTGGCCCCCCTATAAATGATGGATGTAACATCATACGTTTTCCAACCATAGAAAGATTATGTTCATTTTCGTTATGATAAGCGTCCAGAACTCCTTGGAGTGTTTCTCGGCAGATATTTGACTGTGCTTGCTCCACTCTGAAAAAGTCTAGTCTGTGAGTTTCAATTTTGATATATTGGTCAACAGTATATTGCTGCAATAGGCGACCACTGTGTAGAAGCACTCCTGGGCATTGCAGGCGAATCTGTAGACGGTAACAATAATATTCCTGCATGGACACATGGGTTTTGTCCATTCTCCTTTTTTTAGATGTTGTCACATGGAAACAATAGACACGTCTTACTTGACGGATGCTACTTATTGCACGAATAGAATGGAAACACCCAAAAAAAATATACGAATTTAAGTACTTACAATTGATCCGTGATTGGCTGGTCATGACACTATTGTAAAAAGCACCTGCAAATTCATCAGTGGCTTGTTTGGAACAACTCCCTTGTTTAACGATATCTTGATGCCATCCCGGCTGCCCATATGGGTGTATTAAAAGGGATATTGCACTGGGTATTTGACGCCGATCGCCCATCTGATGCTTGTATATCACGATGGATATCTGATTCTTGCCCGCGCCCATCTTCCCAAATAATAGCAATGGCATTAACGGTGGGCCGATTATAAACTCTCTGATCTAGATGTTCTTTTGTACTCAAATAAATGCAGTAATTATTTAAATAGTTAAGTGTATACAACTGCCTGAAAAAACAAACATATGGATTAAGTTGTGTAAGAGACATCAGAAGAGCGATTAAAAATGGATCTAAATTTGGGTAGTTCTCTGTATGCGCACGCAGCTCATCGGTCGAATCCTGGTAATATAGTTGTAAGTGACGAGGGTTGTCCGAATAATATTTAAGTGGGTTGATATAGTGATGCATTATGCCATTGACACGGAAAACATACACGTTCTGTTCATTACGGCAAAGCGAAAGATCGTATTTGACGCCGAGCGTTGAGAAGGCAAACGAATTATTGTATGAACGAATAAAGGTAGTAAAAATGGCTAGACAATGGATGGTTTGAACGTCAGAAGATCTTTGAGGACTCCAGGCACTTCCAAGGGTGCTAAAGAGAAGCTGCCACGAGCACAGCAGAACGAACCCGTTTCACGGTAGAAAAGTATGGCTCCGCAATGGAGGCAGGGCGGAACAGATGGGGGCTTCCACGGCATTGTAGATGCCTGGGGTACCCTGGCCACAGGTTGCGATCTATCTTCGGAACACTGTAGACGTCTTCAAATGCTTTGGAGTTCATTTCGACACGGCATTGGCAAAACAAACTCAGTTTACTTTAGTATTCCTGTAAGGGAGAATTGCAACATGTTAGATGTAGATGGGAGATCCCTTAAAGAAAAAAAATCATAGACTGAACAAATTGCTTGTACGGCAGTCAATGTGGATAGCAGGAAATAATATTGCGAGAAAAAATAATTTCAGAGTGAAAAGACTACTTGGAGATAGAATGAACAATAACTTGGCGTGTAAAGTTTGAGTTGCAGATTTGCCGGCGTCTGCTTTCCGTGCAGTCAGCTTGTATGGTGGCTGGCAGAGCTAGGCTTGTGTTAGCATGTGACGTGATTGCCATGTGGTGAGTGGCCCGGAAACCCGCGTGTGCCAGTTGATGTGGTGGGTGGCCGTAATTCTGTGCACAACCGAAGTGTGACGAATGGGGGCGGATTAGAGGGGCTGATATCAGCAGGCAATGATGTGCGGGGCCTATTGGAACCATGTCGGATCTTATTTACCTTGCCCAACGGCCTGGCTTAACCCTTGGGCGGCCTCCCGATTCGTGGTCGGTTTCCACACTTACCCCATGTGCATTCGCGGTGGCTGCAGCTGGAACAAACACATTAGCTAGCTGTATAGGCGCTTGAGAAAATGCGGTACGTCTTATCTTAAGAAATGAGTAAGAACGCAACGCTCGTTAGCTATGATCGTGTTTCGGTGGAGGTTAGGTTGTTTAGATGGATGAAATAATTACGATGTCAGCCTGGTACAGTTTGGTGTTACAGATAATAATGTTAGACTGTGACACACAAGCAATGGTGTTGTATTGTGAGACAGTATTGTAGCTGATTTCCGGAAGGCATGTGGTTGGGAATGTGCTAGCAAATAGTGGGCAGTACGATGTGTTATTTTGAAGATCTATAGAATGATTGTAATCATTTGTTGTTTTCATGGGAAAACAACAGAGACAGTGTTGTCATAACGTATTTCAAGTAACATAAAAAAGAAATATTATATCGACATTGAGGATACATAGTAGCTTTATATTGTGTTTGCAAAGTTAACTTGTTGAGTACAAATAATAATAATAATAATAATAATAATGGTAGCAGAGTCTTAAAGGAGGTCGGACAAGATAATGTCAGATGAAGAAGGATGAGATGGGCAATACGGAGGACGGTCAAAATAGAAGTCGAGCGAAGAAGGATAAGACGAACGACACAGAGGTCGGAAAAAAGGAAAACGGGCGAAGAAAGATGTGGGCCGACAAGGAGGTCGGACAACGTAAGGTCGGCTGAAGAAAGATCTGATGACAAACAAGGAGGTCGGTGTAAATGAGGTCCGACGAAGAAGGATGCGACAGACGAAAGGAAGACGGACGAAGAAAGATGAGGGACAACATGGATGTCGGAAGAAATAATGTCGGGCGAAGAAAGATGAGATGGCAGACACGGAGGTCGGACAAAAGGAGGTCGGGCGAAGAAAGATGAGAGGGCAGACACGGAAGTCGGACAAGATAAGCTCGGACGAAGAAAGATAAGATGGCAGACACAGAGGTCGGACAAAAGAAAGTCGGGGGAAGAGGTAGATGAGACGGCTGATACGGAGGTCGGTCAAAAATGAAGTGGGCTTCTAAAGGCTCATTTCAAGGAAAGGCCAAGTAATCGGTCGCCTGATTAGGCGAGCTGTTAATCATGTGAGTGAATGGTCGGTCGTTTGGTCGGACGGCGTTGCAGTCGTTTGAAAGATCGGTCGGTTGGTCGGTTGATGGGGTGATTAAATGAATTGTTTGGTCGACTGATAGGTTGGTCGTTTGGACAGACGGTTCTTCAGCCGTCTGAAGGGACTGGGTGGTCGTTTGATTGGGCGGTCATTTGGTCGCTTGATTGGGCGATCAATGAATCGTCTGGACGAATGGTTGTTCGGCCGTTTGAAGGGGCTGAATGGTGTTCGCTCGAGTGGGGGACTGATTAGTCGTTTGGTCTAGCAACCAGTTAGTATCTGGATTGGTCGGTAGGTCAATCGTTTGGTTATTCGTTAAGTCCATTTAAGGAGGTAAGGTCCCCAGAGGCGGTCGCTCGACCCAGTTGGGTTCTTTGGATGATTTTTTTTCTATTTTATTAATAAAAATTTCTACAAAATGATATATATACTGAATTGGTCGGATGACAAAGAGGAGGAGAACCGTCCAGTAAGTAGTTGGTTGAGATAGAAAGAGGAGAAGAAAAAATATAATAAATTATATTAATATATGTTTTTTATATCTATAAATAATATATATGTTGAATTGGTCAAATGAGAAGGAGGAGAACCGTCTAGTAGATTGTCGGTTGGGATAGATAAATGAGAGAAAGAAATATAATAAATTATATAAATATATATTTTTATTTCTGTGCAACCAAGGAAATTTTTAAAAATTATTAAATTTTTGGTAATGATTTTTTAATTTTTTAATTTATATTTTGAATTTGAGGAAATTGGTTGGTTACCATTTGAGACTGCCAAAAATCGGATGTCTTCTATTTCTGTAAGATCAGCCGTCCAGTCGGACGAAAATATTTTTTGTTTTGCGTGCCCGACAAATTCAAAAACCCCTGCATTAGTTTCAAATGCATTTTTTTATGTATAGTAGCATTAGAATATTGTAACTAAGTTATTGTATTACAGAAAACGTTACGATGTACAAAATGATATCCATATTAATATATTTTGTACAAGTAAATTACTACAAAATAGTAAATGGAATTGAAAAAACACAACTCTCGAGAACATCCAATATCAATAACCAAAAGTACAAAATATAAGCAAAATGACACTCTAGGACTTCGAAGACTTGCATTTTTACAACCCAACACAACAAAGCTAAACAATAAATAAATGAAAAAATGGTACAAAAGTCATATCATGTAGGCATTCGTACAACTACTCATATGTATGTCTTTGATATATATATATGGGTCAAGCCCATAAGGAAAAGATTGGGCCTAGCCCAACAAACCTCTCCAAGGCCCAAGAGTGGAATCAATTTGGATGCTTCTTTCAACAAATACAACCTTATGATATAGGTGGGTAATTGTATACTTACATACTTCAAATTAATGCTCATGTGGATGTATTAAAGGACCTAGAGTGAGCTCAATAAATTCCGACAAAAATAAGAATTCATAATCCTCTTTGTACGGGTCTAATTGATGCAACACAATGTAACATTCACTTATTTCCTTTTAGAAAATTAATTAACATAAGTTTACATACTTTTTGTGAATACTTGTGTGGATTTACTCAAGGACCAAACTGAGCTTGATAGGTTTCGATTAGAACAAGAGTTTATAATAATCTCCCTATTGGTTTAACAAGTGCCACAATTTAACACTTACTTTCTCCCATTTGGATAATTAATTAGCATAAATTTAGGTTAATAAGGTTGGTAATGCTAACACGTCAATGTGCTTTGAAACATCAACTATATACTCCCTCAAATAATAAAACTTGACTCACCGGTCATTCGTGTACCTTTGTTACATTTCTGAAAACCTATGTTGTCATCGTATCACATATAAAAGACAATTGTCACATACCCGTCGGTTGTGTTCATATACAACAGTACATAGAAATTAAAAATGTGGTTCTATGCAACCACACTCCTGGTCTTGTATTTTTACCTACAATAATACATTATATCCAAAAAGCTAAAAGTAATTACACATCAAAAGGAACATCCTATTAAAAAAATTATCCATTTACAAAGTTTACAATACCCGCTCTTTACAACTTCTTTTGTGTCTAAAACGGCTAAAACGATTGTATTTTTGTGACTGTTTTATCTGAAGCGGCTCATAATGTTGTTTCTTTACATGAAAGCCACATTGACAGCAAATGACTGACTCACATCTTATCAAAACAAAAAATTACAAATTTAAAAGTTCTACGATATCCGCTTGTTACAATTTCGTCGGTTGTGTCTGAAACTAGTTTCTTTACTCTTCATCGAAATAATTTCAGACTTCTTTCTTCCCTCTCCATCAAAACCGATAGATCCTACACAGAAATCAACAATTTTACCTCACCATTTACAATTATATTACAAAACCAACAAATCTTACTATCATGCGTCGGTACCAGGTTGATGGGTGCAAAATCATTTCACAACAAGACCATTTATATTTTTGTTAAAGTTAAATTTGTGCAAAATTCTTTTACAACAATATCAAATACCAATCATGCTCTATATAAAAGCCCATGATAATGATGAAATTGAAAGGCTTAATGATTTAAGCTACAATAATTTTGAAAAATGTAAGAATGAGATTGTGTTTCTATTTCAATTTCAGCACAACAACTCGGTGAGGTAAGAATTTAAAATAAAAATCTTGTTTGTAGTATTCATAACGGTCCTCATATCGATAACTAGTTTGAAAATTGTATATTATATGTGAATAAAGAACATTCGATCATAAATATAAATATGTAGCCATTGCCCAACCGATGAATAAACCATGTAGCTCAATCACAACTTTCTAAACAAATATAATTCATAAAAAACAAATGAACATCATCAATTCTAAAATCCTATACCTAATAAGATTTAGATAGCTAATAATTTCAACAAAAATAAGCACGAACTCTAATCGAACTTCAACCAATTCATAATCCAAAATTTTAAAAATTGATAAATAAAATCAGAAAAACCTTTGATAAGTACTGATTTCATAAACTTCTGTAAATTACACAAAGACAATGGTGAATATGCAACTGTTGGAGCCGACAGACCTGGGCGTGACAGAGGCAGTTGGCGTTGACAGCGCTCGCAAAGTAGGTGGCAGTACGGCGGGCACTGGTTGATTATGAGCAGTCGACTGCAGACCGAGTCTCAGCGCGGCACTGCATCAGGGCGGCGACGTCGTGGACCGGCATCAACTGGGACAACAAGGAAGTCTGCACGCAACTGGCTGTTTAGTTAGACTTCTTACCCGATGACTCACCGCATCATGAAATAATATTAAGCAAATTGGGCTAAAGAATATAATGGATCGAAAATCAGAAGAATGGAGACAACGGATCTTCACTGGAGATGCCATAAGTGCCGCGATAAACATTAGTTTTTTGCGAAAAAAAAAAATTGGGGGAGGAGGACAGAGGTTGAGGGTAAAACAGAGAAGTTAAGGATTGGGTAGAAAGTTCGATGAAATCAATTATTTAAAGTGGATAGTGTAGATTAAATATATTAAAATAAGGACTGAATCCTAACTTATTATTGTGCAGAGGAGTTTTACTCCAATTTATCGAAAAAAAAAAAAACACAAATTTACAAGAGTAGGAAAGAAAGCACAGAAAAATAAATTATTGTGTAGAGAGTAGATATACAAGAATTGGAAATTGAAAATTGTATTTGAAGTTGGCCAAAATAGATTGGATGTGGAGTGAATATGATGGTGCGAATTGGGTGAAAAGCCTGATTTGGGCTACTATTATTTATAGGTCTAGGCCTGAAATGTTTTCCAGTATGGACAGTCCGGCCTCAGCAAGTTTAATTAGATCCAAATAATAATAATAATAATAAATGTTAATCTCAGTGGGTCCAGTGAAAGTGGGCCGGCTTGGTTTTATTTTGGGCTTGTTTGGTTTACACGGAGAGAGGGTGGAGAATGAGATTCTTCTCTCTCTTCACAAACATATAATAATAGTGATAATTTTTGGCAATGACTTACCATCGAATTAGAAGGAGAGAGAGAGAGAGAGGAAGGAAGAAGTCGCAGCACACCTCCCTCCGTGGACGCTTTCAATCAAATCCTCCTCTTTGCAGGGAAGCTAGGTATCTCTGCGCCGATATTTCAAAGTATCTCGTCTCCGTTTACTTGTTCTCTGTGATTCTTAATTTTCCCTTTGATCGGTGTCTTTTGTTGTTAGGGTTTCGAATTCTTGATTTGGGTGGGTTGTGTTCCTTTTGTTTTCAATTCAAACAATATTTGATCCATCAAATTGATCCGACAGTTATATTCCTCGAACCAATTTGATCCTTGATCCCTGAGGTTGTGTCGAAAAGGATGTGGGCGGCTACATGTTTAGCCTCGTGCTGCGCGTCATGCGCTTGCCATGCGTGCACTTCAGCTGTCTCAGGGATCAGCCGCCGCTCGGCACGTATTGCTTACTGCGGACTGTTCGCTCTTTCCCTGACTGTCGCCTGGATTCTTCGAGAGGTTGCTGCTCCCCTCATGGAGAAGATTCCCTGTATGTATTCTTCTTTGTTATTATGTCCTGTAAATTTTTAGGTGAATATATCAAGCTATTGTTATATTTTTATGTTAATGGAATGCATGCGATCTCACTTAGGATTGATGATTTAAGGAAAATTTGTGTGTTCTTGAGTAGAATCAACAAATTTGGTTTTCAAGGAGTTGATAAATCCCATTAGATAGCTTTGAAATTTAAAATGAACAATGGTAAATAGTATTATTTGAAGAGGAGATTGTTTTTACATGTACTTCTGTGTGTTTTTCTACATAGCAATGTGCTTGAATTATAAAATTTGATGATATATTAGAATAAAAAATATTAAATTTCTGAGATAATTTTGAAAGAGTTGTAAGCTCATGTTCATTTCAATTTCATTCTTGACTTGTTGTTTGTTTTAGTTTGTATTTATTTTGACAAACTCTTATCTCAATTTTGAAGGGATCAACCATTTTCACCAGACACCAAATAGGGAGTGGTTTGAAACCGATGCAGTTCTACGAGTCAGTTTGGGGAACTTCCTTTTCTTCACAATCCTCGCTATTTTCATGATTGGTGTGAAGAACCAGAAGGATCCTCGTGATAGTGTCCACCATGGTGGTTGGATGATGAAAATTATTTGTTGGTGTATTCTGGTGATATTGATGTTCTTTGTTCCTAATGGTGTCATCAGCTTCTATGGTGAGGTTTCTTTTTCAATTGATCTTTACTTTTGCTGTTTTGTCCTTTTATTACTCCTTGGTTTGGAAATTATGAAGTAGTGGATTATCCTTATGGAAAAAACTGCATTCTGATAGAGAGAGAAAGAATGAAAAGAAAAACCACTTCTATTGTCTTTTGGTTGAGAAATCATTGAACTTATGACCAGACTTGGACTTTGGTTAGCTTATATCTGCGCTTGAGCAGCTATTCTTATGGATATGTTAGTATTTTCCTAGTTTCCTCAAGATGCTAGTGAAACTTCAATCTGATAATGACCTGCAAACTTTGTTTTAGCCGCTTTTGACTCAAGATATTATTTTCTGGATAGAAGTTTGATGAGTGAAAACTATTCGAGAATATGAGGAAGTGACGGTGTGAGGCTGGAGAATGTGTTGAAGAAACACACCGAATTTTCATTACATTGGTTCCATGTTTGGCCCCCATTGGGAAATCAAACTCTTGTCAAGTATGGGCTGACAAATTAAAATGATTACATATAAGTTGAACTTTTAACTTATCTAATTGTCTTGACCAGTGGTTGTACCCATGTGTTTGTTATGTTTATGCATTAATTCAGTTTTTGTTTTATCTAAAAGCAATTGCTTTGTTTTATTTAAAAATATTTTCTCTTAGATATTGGTCAGTGGGGTCCATATTTAACTAATGCATCATCTCACTGCATGTGGCGTGCAGTAGATGAATTGCTTGATTTACTTAACTATTCAACTCCTTGCGCATTTCCCAATGCACTTGAACTGGTTGTTTGACTCTGGTCTTTTCACTTTAAACTACACTTGTTTGATAAACATATTATTCACCCTCTTACATCTCCACCAAGATGTGTCATTCTTACCCGAAGCAGGATGTGATTACTCAAGATCAACAAGCACAGCACAAAGTTTCTCAATTTGTTTTATTAGGGGGAGAAATATCCCTTGGAAAGTGGAGTGTGTCTTACAACTCAATCTACTAGTTCATTAACTTACTAGAAAGGCTATTTTGAAATGACATTTTGTACGATGTGTCGTTCGGAAGCAATAAAACCTTTATAATGTTTTCATGTGAACATTTGTACGATGTGTCGTTTGGAAGCAATAGAACCTTTATAGTGTTTTCTTGTGAACTAGAGTCATTCAGATTGTATGTTAGGTGGTGGCAAAAAGTATGTATTTATGTAAATAGCCACGCTGGCCCGTGCATATCTTTTTTGTTTGTTATATTGGTTTCATATATCAACTTAATGTTATCTATATATATACCTGTTAATAGCGTATATGTGACAATGGATGATGTTTTAGTTTGGGTAGCATTGATGAGTTTTAGCATATCATTGATGCATTTTTGCTCAAATGTGTGTGACTGTGTATGTTTGTACATACATTTCTTAGTTTGATTAGTTTAGCAGTAAAGATTGAGCTATAGTTGAGACATGATCTTTTGTATGAAAGCTAGCAATATTTTTTGAAGTTTTACTATATTTGGAAATGTGTGCTTGTTCTATGGTGGATGGATTGAAAAAGCTAACCACTTAAAGCATTTGTATTCTTGTTTTATCTAAAAGCTTGAAATAAGGATGTGATGGGGGTATATTTCTCTGAACTGATGTTATTTATTGCATGTTTGAAGACTTTGTCGAAAGAAAAGAATGTTTCAGTTTCAACTGTATGGTTTATCAGGAGGTTTCAATGAAACAGATATGAAGTACTTTCCACCCATAGGTGGGCAGGATCTTCTGCGAGTAAAGAAGCTATTTTTGCTGCCTGTTCCTTTTCCTAAAGATATTTCCATCCAAATAATAGTAGAAGATTTGATGAAGCCTTCCCCCTTTTTTTTTTGTCCCTCTTTCAACTTTTTTCTTTGAAATAAGCTAGTAACTTGGGGACGATTGGATGCTGAACTTCCATTGATATAATTCTTTATTATCTAAGGGTGTGTTTGTTTGGGGGATTGGATTTAATTTCTACTATTAATCCCATTTTTTTTCCCCCAAGCACATCAAATCAAACACTCATTTTTCATTTTTTATATTATACTAAAAATCAATTTTACGTTTAAAACATCACATCAACACCTATTTATATTACATCATACAACTATTTAAATTCAAAATTTTAACTATTCAAATCTCAATTCAAAATCCAAACCCCCAAACAAACACACCCTAAAATAATTGTTCCCTGTGTACACTATCAATAATCTACATTGGGCAGAGATAGCCTATTACATCTTTTGATTGAAATGCAAATAGTAGTATCCACTCATTTTATTCAGTATTCACATGGAAGAACTTATTTTGTACTGTGCCATATGATATCCAGTCATGTATTCTTGTTTCTATCTACGTTTTTGGATCATTTTTTGTTTATATATATGTTTGTAAATGCAGAGGCAATATCAAAATTTGGCTCAGGGTTGTTCCTTCTTGTTCAAGTTGTTCTTCTGCTGGATTTTGTTCATGGATGGAATGACAAATGGGTTGGATATGATGAGCAGTTTTGGTATGTTTTAATATTTTGAGATCGTCTTCACGAAGCGATGATTGATCGCTTTTGAAATTTAAATATCTGTGTCACTTTCTGTGTGATTTTGCAGGTACATGGCTTTGCTTGTTGTTTCCCTTGTTTGCTATGTGGCAACCTTTTCCTTTTCTGGACTTCTCTTCTATCTCTTCACTCCTTCAGGACATGATTGTGGGCTGAACACATTCTTCATTGTTATGGCATTGATCTTTGTGTTCGCCTTTGCTGTTGTCACATTGCATCCATCAGTAAGTAACTGAACTTCCTTTACTCACTAGGAACCTGTTCTATTTTAAATTGCTGGTGCTTATTCCGTTTTGTAAGGAATTAACTGTGCAGAGTAAAGCTGAGCTATTTGACTATTTTCTGAAACTGAAAGGGATATAAAGTATTGTTATGTTTGCCAGAATCTAGTGTTTTTAAATCTTTTATTACTTTCCTGAAGACTATAGCAGTGTAATGCCTGTATTTCGTATGACCTATTGAAGTTTTCTATACAAAAATTAATTTAGCAAGTGCTATGGAAGAGTGACCTTCAAATCATTATAAAGTTTTGGTTGGTTGGTGGCAAAGAATGCATAGCAATGATAGTTATTCTTACTTTGTTTGCAAAAACTAACTTGAGAAAGATTAGAAAAGGAAAAGGCGTAATTTGACTTTCATAAGAAAACAATCAACTGAATAGAAATGATAAAAAGCTATGCATGTATCTGACGGAATTGACCGCATGACTAGATTTTGAAAGGATTTATCTATGTAGAACTGAGATGATGTGTAGTTCTAGTCTTATATTATATCTGATGCATACTATCTTCAACAATTTTTTAATTTAAAATCTAGGTAAGCGGAAGCATTCTGCCTGCCTCAGTTCTCTCAATGTATTGTATGTACCTCACCTACAGTGGGCTTGCCAGTGAACCTAGGGATTATGAGTGTAATGGTCTTCACAAGCATTCTAGAGCAGTCTCATCGGGTAGTCTTGCTCTTGGACTGCTTACAACAGTGCTTTCTGTTGTCTACTCTGCTGTCCGTGCTGGATCTTCAACAACATTACTTTCCCCCCCAAGCTCACCCCGAGCAGGTATTTTATATGTTTTTCTTCCTACTGTATTTTTTCAGTAGTCGGTAAGGTGCTTGATTGTCTGTTACAGTATAGTCATCACTTTTAGTCATCTTGCACAATGACTTAAAGCTAGAATATCCCCACAAAACAAAACTGTAATTGTAAATTTAAGTTGAAATGAAGATCATACTTTGAAAGTTTTCTTCTCTATTCACTTATAGCATCATAACTCCTCAGAATTCTGTGTTCCCCACTTTTTACTAGGTTTATTCTTCCATATATTTGTGCCTTATAATACATACCAGCACTGCATTCAAATTATGTAAATTAGTTTCAACATTTTTTTATAATATAGAACTATTGGAAAAGTTTGCTTTTGAAGATGTAATTCTAAAAGTATAGATGAACAGTCATACTTCTATACTTTGTTTATTATGCATGATTAATTCATATTTGTTTTTATGTACTTAGCAAAATATCAACTATTCATGTATAGTAAACGAGCCTTTAGACATTAGTACAATGCTATGATACAGTTACACAACACATCAATTCATTAACATGACAAAAGCTTGTTATTCCAAAATGTGAAGGCGAAATAGTTGGGACTATTCCCCTGCTGAATTCCCAAGTTTTCCGTGTCTATAATATCTTGCCTGCCTTTGATGGGAAGTGAAACAATACGATGTCTCCTCATGGATTGTTATAATTTTTAACCTTTAAACTTGAAGGTTACTGCAAAAATCTAAGTTAACCTAGAGGTGTTGTATACTGTATGTGAAGGTTCCGAAAAGCCGTTGCTACCATTGGACAAGGCAGACGAGCAGCGTGAGGAGGAAGAGAAGCCAAAATCAGTGACATATTCATATTCGTTTTTCCACTTAATCTTCTCTCTAGCCAGCATGTACTCTGCCATGCTTCTTACGGGTTGGTCAACCTCGGTGGGTGAGAGTGGGAGATTGGTTGACGTGGGGTGGCCATCCGTGTGGGTTCGCATTGTCACCTGTTGGGCTACTGCTGCTTTGTTCGTCTGGTCTCTCGTTGCGCCTATCCTTTTCCCAGACAGGGAATTCTGATTCATACGTATGTATATATAATCAACTTTTGAAGACATAAATGTCGAATGTTTGGTGTTGTTTTGGAACATTTCGGCCGAAAGGGTGTAATGTCATAACTGTGTGTGCGCTTTGAAATAAATGTGCAAAACTGGGGTGGGTTTGGTCTGTTTGCTGAAATCCTGTTTGGTTGGCTTTTATTTGATAGCGATTCATCCTTACAATACATGTTATTGTGTGGATTATCTAATAAAATTTATAATAATGATAATAACAATAATAAATGTTGGACCTGTTTATAGAACATTTCTATGTGTTAATACTAGATGTGTGACAAACATAGAGTGAAACTTGATTAGACTTTTTAGTTCGATTTTTGTGAACCTTTAAGAGCAGATGTAATGGGAATGGGAGTTTTTACAGCAAGCAAGCAAGCAACAACTATATCAAGAGACGAGACTGCTTCCATCATATCTTTTGGTTTTCTTTCTTTTCCACGGTTCGGTTCTTGTTAAATATATATCGCGTCATGTGAACACCTTTTTTTGTGCAAATTAATTAACCCTTCCTCGTTCGTTCCAAACTAGGGGATGGATGGATGGATAAACTACCTACCTACTTTGCATACATCTTTAACTGTGATGGATGGATAAACTACCTACCTATTTTGCATATATCTTTAACTGTGATGGATGGATGGATAAACTACTTACCTACATTGCATACATCTTTTACGGTTGTTGTCTTTGTGCATTTCAAATACTTCAATGGCCTGAAGCCTAAGTTTATTATCAAATATCCCAATTCTTTATTTTATGATTTGATTATTTTGAATAAATTGTTAGGTTGGTTGGGCCTAGGCCTATAGTCATTTTGCCCTAGTATTTAAGTATTATTTTGAGACATTATTAGCATTCTGATTTCTTTCAGTTTCACGGCCTCGGCTTGGTCGGGAAGAGTAATTCTTCCTTGGTTATCAATAAAGTTTAGTCTTTTGATTCTCTTAAGTTCTCGTGTTATCAAATTGGTCCGACCTGCTGGATCTCAACAGAGCAGGATGACGCTAACAAATATGCAACGCATTGAAGCTTTGGAGAAAGCCCTGGAGGAAATTCGAACAGGCAAGGAAGCACAACATGAAGGATTGTCGCGCCTCGAATTGAAGGTGGATCGACAAGTGGATACTCTGAAGACAGAACTTTCAGCAGCCATGCGGGATACGATTCTTGGGCTATTCCCGCATGGACCTCCCATCACACCTATTAGGGGCTCAGCGGCGCAGGGAACTATGGCGGGAGGAGGTGAGGCAGTAGATTCGTCGACGAGGGCTGCTGACATCAGCGGGGCAGCACGTCTGTTTAAGGATGTTGGAGGAACATGAACTACTCCGACAACTGATTTTAAGCTTAAGGATGCACAACTCCCTAGCTTTGATGGCCACGACCCCTTGGGATGAGTTGCTAGGGCCGAACAACACTTCGTATTACACGGAGTCCCCGAGGAGATTAAGGTGAGTCTTGCGCGAGTGGCGATGGAAGATATGGCGCTCCATTGGTCCCGTTGGCATATGATGAAGCATGCTTCTGCCTCCAGGATCGAATTCTCACAGGCATTGGTTACTAGGTTTGACGATCGATTCATGGGGAATCCGTATGAGAAGATGGTAACGTTAAGGCAAACAAGTTATGTTGATGAAAATGTTAATTTATTCACTCAACTTCCTACTCAGGCTCAACCATTGACAGAAGCGCAGGCCTTAGGGTATTATTTAGGGGGCTTGAAACAAATCATCAGAAATATGTTAAGGGTAGTGGAGCCCCCGGATCCTGAATCCGCAATCCGCGTAAGCAGAAGCATTGAATGGGAGCTGAAAAATGGATCTACAGCAGAATTTTACCTACGAAATAACTTGGTTGGGCGAGCTGAAAGCATTATCTCCTCAAACACAGTTGGAGGGGTAGAGAACCGCCATTCAACTAGCAACAATATTGTGTGGGGGGGGGGGGGAGGGCAACGATCAGTCACTTCAACCCCTTCTTCAAAGGGAAGCACAAGAAAATTAAGTCGAGACGCGTATCACGAGTGTCAAGAGAAGCGGCTTTGTTACAAGTGTAAACAAATGCGAAAGTAAATATCGCAATGTTGTGGTGAAGGATGATTTAGGCAACTGGGTTGCGGAGTTAAGGGAGATGAGAGATGACAAATTTACTGAGGAAGCGGGACTTACCTTGGAAAGTGACCAATCGCCCGAGGAGGAAACAACGCAGGGGGTCCTTCCTTTATACGCCTTGGCTGGATTGTCTGGACCCCGAACCATGCGTGTCCGTGGTAGTCTTTTTTGGATTTAGGGTAACGGTACTAATCGACAACGGTGTAAGCCATAATTTTATTTCCCAAAAATTGGTTTCACATGCAAAATTGAACGTAGACGCCACACAGGAATTCAACGTGGTACTAGGCGATGGTCGCAAGGTGGCAAGTACGGGACTCTGCTAGAAATTGAGTATACAGATCAATGGAGTAAAAGTGTAGGCAGACTGTCACGTATTTCCTCTTGGTGGGGTGGATATAATATTGGGTGTCGCATGGATAAGGACATTAGGAAAAATTCAGATGGATTGGGAAGCCTTGAAGATGCAGTACTATTTGGCGGGACAGCAAGTGACCTTGCGCAGCTCGGCGTACCACCCAGAAACTGACGGCCAAACTGAAGTCTTGAACCGCACATTAGAGACATACCTTCGTTGTTTTTGCTCGAAACAACCCCAAAAATCGGCAACATGCCTTCCATTTGCTGAGTTATAGTACAACACCTCATTCTACACTTCCACTGCCACTACTCCCTTCTTGACCGTCTATGGCTGACCACTACCCACACTGCATAGTTTCTTGCCAGAGGAATGCCGAATTGCTGTAGCTTCAGAGTTACTTGGCGGCCACGAGGCAGTTCTGCTACAGTTGAACACCACTTGGAGCGTGCTCAACATCGCAAAGTGCGGGCAGCCAACGCCCATCGCCGTGAGCTCACCTTCCAGGTTGGTGACTTGGTATTCTTGTAGGTCGGACCCTATCGCCAAGGCAGCTTACGTCAGGGCACCCAGCACAAGCTCCTGCCCAAATTTTATGGACCATTCCGCTTCCTTCGCCGCATGGGAAAGGTCGCATATAAGCTGGATTTGCCAGCTACTAGCCGTATCCATCTTGTGTTTCATGTATCTCAACTTCATCGGGTGTTGGGCAATCATCCAGTAAAGCCTCATTTACCCTACAACCTAGAGGTCAAGCAACTGTTTGTTTACGATCCTAAAGTTGTTTTGGACAGACGACAGATCAAACATGCGGGAAGTATGGTTCCTCAAGTCTTGATTCAGTGGCACGGTCTTCATCTAAATGATGCAACTTGGATCGACGAGGAACAGTTCTGTGCTCAGTTCCCAACCTCCTACATTGAGGCCAAGGCAGTTCTTAAAGGAGAGGCAGTTGATACGCGGTGGGCGCAACCAAAAGTTGATTCACGACAAGGGAAGAAAGAGCAAGTGCACTTTGGGCTAATTGTGGCAATGACCTGAAGGCTAAGTTTATTATTAAGTACTTCAGTTCGTTATTTTCTAATTTGATTATTTTGAATAAATTGTTAGGTTGGTTGGGCCTAGGCCCATAGTTGTTTTGCCCTAGTATTTAAATATTATTTTGAGACATTATTAGTATTATGATTTCCTTCAGTTTCACAGCTTCGGCTTGGTCGGGAAGTGTAGTTCTTCCTTGGTTATCAATAAAGTTTAGTCTTTTGGTTCTCTTAAGTTCTCGTGTTATCAGTCGATCACCACTTAAATATGATTAACAACTATTAAATTATAAAAAAAGTAAATAAAGAGTTGATTCATCATATAGTTACGTACCATTGGCTCAGACCTATCCGAGGTTGATACATTGAAGCCCTGCCTGAGGTAAATATGAATGTTAATGTAGTGATCCTGGAATCAAATTCTTAGACATGGATGAACGTTGAAATTTGTTACAAGTAATCTATTGATTTCACTAAGCATATTTGAATTGAATCAATAGTCTCCCTCGTTTATATTGAAGCTGTTGAGCACAAAAAAACTATGGGATCTTAAAAGGAGAGTACGAAACGCTATTAAGGAAAAGGCCTCATCGGGAGAAAGCAGAGATCGGGTGTAATAAGGTCGGGTGCAGAAATCGGGCGTGATAAGGTTGGGCACAGAGATCAGACGTGATAAGGTTAGGCGTTAAGATCAGACAGGACAAGGTCGGGCACGGAGATCAGACGTGATAAGGTCGGATGTTAAGATTGGACAGGACAAGGTCGGGCACGGAGATCGGGTGTAATAAGGTCGGGTGCAGAAATCGGGCGTGATAAGGTCGGGCACAGGGATCAGACGTGATAAGGTTGGGCGTTAAGATCGGACAGGACAAGGTCGGGCACGGAGATCAGATGTGATAAGGTCGGGCAAAGAAGAAGTATCGGCAGACGCGGAGGTCTGTCAAGACGAAGGTCGGGCAAAGAAGAAGTATCGGCAGACGCGGAGGTCTGTCAAGACGAAGGTTGGGCAAAAAAAAAGTATAGGCAGACGCGGAGGTCTGTCAAGAGGATAGTATGTCGAACAAGTTGTCCATCTAAGGAGATAAGGAAAACGGAGCCGGTCGGTTGATTCGCTGTCGGATGGTTCGCAGTCGGTTGGCCCGGTCGGATGGTCCGTAGTCTGTTGGCCCGCGGTCAAACCAATTGAGGTTGGACGGAGAACAGCTGATACGGAGGTCGGTCGAAAGAGGAAGTCGGGCGAAGAAGGACGGCTGATACGGCGGTCGGTCGAAAGAGGAAGTCGGGCGAAGAAGGACGGTTATTACGCAGGTCGGACCAAGTGAGGTCGGGCGAAGAAGAATGAGACAGACGATACGAGGTCGCACAAGAGACCAGATGGTGGTCGCTTGGTGGGGCGGCCAAGGATTCGTTTGGTTTAGTGACCAGTTAGTATCTGGATTGGTCGGTTGGCCTGCAATCCGTCTAAGGAGTCAGGGGTTATTTTGGGCGGCTGAGTAGCCGGTCGGACCAGCCGCTCATTTAAGGCGGTGAGGTTTTCAGAGGCGGTCGGCCGAGTCAGTTGAGCGCTGTAACTGGCGAGAGCGGTTGGTGAGTCGGTTAACACACGTGTCAACAG